AGTATCGATGTGTTGCAGTGTCGATGTTCCCCGGAAATATACAATCAAACATCCCTCGATTTCTTTGGAAACGAATTGAAGATTACCTAATTTATTGATTTATTTCGATTTTTTGGACGTTTTAGATACAGTTGAATAAGCGTTGATTTATAGTTTGCGTGAATAATCAGTGGGCCATTTGCTCTCTCTCTCTTCCTCTCTCTTTCTCATTCTTATTTTAATTTTCTTTCTCATTATCTTTCACATCCTCTTTTTCATTCTCTTTCTCATCCTCTCTCTCTCTCTCTCTTTCTCATTCTTATTTTCATTTTCTTTCTCATTCTCTTTCACTCTCTTTCACATCCTCTTTTTCATTCTCTTTCTCATCCTCTCTCTCTCTCTCATTCTTATTTTCATTTTCTTTCTAAATAATAGTAAAGATAATAATTTAGAGTTTGTTCTTGTGACTAGTGGTTTGTTTGTTTATTGTGCTTCTAAAGTACCCCCTATTTGCAAGGAATCCTCGGTGTTACCATCCACTAGCGTTGCGGGAAATGAACGCAGGTCTGCAAGATTGCTAGGTGAAGACGCTACCGCTGCATCAAGCTGCACTGTGTGTGTATGTGTGTGTGTGTGTGCACGCAACGCGCGCGTGTATGTAAATATATATATATATATACATATATAAATATATATATATATACATACATACATACATATATTTACATATTGCTTCTAATAAGGAAGGTTGAATGCACAGTAACAGAAAACGGGACCCACAATAAGGGAAAACGGGATTATCTTACATTTGGCAACTTACGTTCACCATTATAAATATTTTTTTTACCGATTAACTACTAATACAATTGCACTTTGTACAAAATTATTATATTATTTGATTCTGATGCCGCACCGACACCCCGGCGGGCTCTTTAGGTTAACGCAGCGAAAGTGTTAAACGCTTTGGTGATTTTCTATCGTCATGGACATCATATCATTTTATTAATGGATTTTTTTCCTCTCGTCTCGTCCTGACCTCACTTTCTCTTTCCCTTCTGGTCGGTTGGGTAAGTGGAAGGGCCAATAGATGACCGCTCGTTTTCCCCGTAACTTGGTTGTTGTTGACACATTGCCCATTGGTGACTCGTTCAATTGGCGCTAAAGTGGTGCTTGTATATAAATTTATTATTTTTATTATAGTGTTAGGATTTTCCCCATATCATAGTGCACAGGGATACCCGCTATAACCTTGCGTAAATCGCCTAATATATCTACGCTCCGCCAACTTTTATTCCAATGGGTATGACCCACAGTACGTCCATTCATTAATGTATTGATTAATCGTGTGATTCATTGTAGTTAGATGAAGTCTTAAGTAGTCTGACATACATAGCTGGACAATGGCTACCTCGGCATTTCAGAATTTTGTAGCGAATCCGAAATGTAGATTAAATAGAATCGTGGACTGCGTAGTAAATTTCTGACCCAGGAAAATTTGCTTGCGTATAATTTTTCACGTCAATGATCATTAGTGTATGTAATGTAGTAGTTGAAATAATTTTGTGTTAACACCATTGCTAATTTATCGCAGTATTGTTAAAACGAATGTTAATCTTCGTGGTTGTGATTCATTTTTTTGTGTGAGCTTACTCTCATTTTTATTCTTATTCACGCTCACTGGCGCTCGCACGCACGCACGCACTCACTCACTCACTCACTCAAGAGCCGGTCACATTAATCTATTCTGTCCAAGGATCCCTTTACAGAGCTGGATGCTTCCCTAGCTGTAAACGGATCCGATATGAAAATCCCTCCGCAGCGCGAAAACGATATGTCGGTATTTCATCCCTGCCTAGAGCTGAAAGATATTGCCGAAACAAAAAATATAATATAATTGCTGGTAAACTCATAACTTAGAATCTCAAAAAAAAGAAAATTATACATCATGATAAAAACAAAATCTACTATTAAATACAAAGATATATTGCATCGAACAATGATGTCTCATTAAATGTTTATAGATAATTTAAATAAACGTTCATCTGACTACCGAATATAAACATCAACCCACTCCGACACGCCAAAAAGATGGAGCTCTCTTCGGAAGTTATTTAAGTCTTGTTGGATAAAATGAAAGCTAATGAGCCGTTGTGGAACACCAGTCATAAGGATTATTAAAGCAGGAATTAAGAAGATCATTAATGAATGAATTAAGCAATTAACTCCGACATGGAGTAGCCTGTAAGAGCATCCTCGATGGAAAGCGCCATTGTGTACTGTCATGAATGCTGAACTGAGACGATGGTTCTCTCCGAAGAAACACTGAAAATAGTGTGACCAATCCCTCTCTGTAGTTGACTAGACTTTGGCTACCCTACCTGGGATCAGGGGCGTCACTAGGATTGAGAGATAGGGGGGGCTTAGCCCCAGAAGGGTTGTAGTCAAACATTTCGGTGGCAAATGCATCTGTGCGTTTACCTTTGAGAGTATCACACACAGCATCTTTGCAAATCAGTGCTGC